ATCTACCCGATAATGACATTTTTTTGTGAAAGCACTTGTATAATTCCTTGCTCTTGTAGAAATCCTGGATCGACGGCCTGCAAGGATATGCTAAGTGTTAGGTGAGATTGGAAGGGAATTTTTTTTCTTGTACAACAGATAATTAAGTCCTCTGATGCTCAAAATTGAGACGAATAAATGAAACAATATAGAAAAAGTAACTAGAATTGGCCAACCGGAAAGAAGTTTCGTTTAGTCGCTGCAATACTCTCTTAATGGTAAAGAGTTGCCCAATCTAAGAGCCGTGAAAATTAGTTACACAAGTTTTTAGCCCCAACATCACAGAAGTTCTAAACCGACGGAATTATTAAGCTACTCGAAAAATAGCAATTTGTCATAAATAATAATGACTTTTATTAGAGGTTAGATTACAAATATGTTAATAGTATAAAAATTGTTTAATTTAGCAATAATAATGAGCTGTTTTGTATTATACGAATCATTCAAAAAATACTGGTACTACTGTGGGAACTAGTGAGAACCAGTTAGTCGTCTGTTTAGATGCAGACGTATGGCTTTGAGCCATAAACCTTGTCGCTTCTATAATCAGTTCCTTAACAAATATAGTGGAGGTTAAAAAGACATGACCGCAATGGTCATATGATATGAGTATGGGAATAATTTTTTATATATGTATATAGCTCAAATACATAATTTTAGCGTATGAAAAAAAAGTTAAAAAGAATCTACTTCGTTCTCAAATTTTAAAGTTCGTACAACGAATATCGTAATTTGAGATGGGTAGTTTGAGAAAAATTAAAGTTACTGTATATAATCAGATATATCAATTTTGAGGTTTCTGATTATTATTATAATATAATATACTTTAACATGAATAATATACTTTAAAAGTTTATTAGGAACTGCAGTGTCAAATTTTTTGAACCTTTTCCTGAGTGATTAATTTTTACTAAATTAATGTGTTATTCAATATAATTTATTCAGTTTAATTCTTTTTAAACTAATAGCGTGAAGTTTCAGTTAAATTTAAAGTCAAATATGATAAAAAGAAAAAATTTTTTTAAATACGGAGGTTTTTAACAGTAGAGAATAACTGCAAAATATACTTAATTATTAAAAAAAAGAAAATAAATAAATAAATAAAAATATATAAAAAATTTTAAAATAAAGATTACAATTTTTTGGTTTTGAAAATGTCGGTCCAACAGAATATTTTTCAATACCTACTTTTTTTGTATATCGATAAATTTTTCACTTCTTATTAATTGCACAAAAACTTGATTTAATTTAATTTTTTACAGCAAAATAGAAATATTTTTCTCACATCTATGTATTATTTAAAAATAATAATTAATGATTTATATTACATATTAATTATTTACTATTTTAAAATATTCTAAACTTGTCATTTTAAATACTATAATTCTTTTTTTTTAAATTTTTAAACTCACTTTTCAATTTTTTAATTAGCTTATTAATTACTTATTAACTTAACAGTAATTTTATTTTAAAATTAATATATTTAAATTAATTTTATTTCGTTTTAAATTATATGATATTTTAAAGCTCCACATAAAAGTGTCCAAATATTTTCTATAGTTTTATCGTCGCGGAGTTTTTTCGCATGTAGTTTTCGCAACAGACCGTTAAAGTGAACTAAATGAAATCCTGCGCTACGTATCATTAGGTCACCTGTCGCAATGCTACTTACTTTGTTTGTATGCAATAAAATTATACAAATCAACATTAAACCCTGTGAAGTCCAACCACCCACCCAGTTCCATAGCTGTCAAACCATATCGGCACGCTCTACTGCTGTCGCATTCATACACATTGCAACGCATAGCTATACTCCGGAATCCTGAACGTTTTATTTGCATTTCTACGCAAACACAATAGTTGATTTGTTGTAAGATTTTTGTTGGGTTTTGGATACCAACATCCCTCTGGCAGAGCAATGTATTCTATGGCCAACCACCCACCGTAGTAATGCGCAGGCTCGTTAACGCCTACAGTTATTTGCCACACATTCCCTGACTTTTCACTGTGCTAAGTAACTGAGGATCCACAGTATTTTGGATTAAGTAAAGCAACAAGTCCACATTGGAATTTGCTCTATTGAATATTATTGGAACGCCCCTTTTGTTTTTATATGAACATAACTTAACGTTGGGTTTTTTTAAATTGCATTAATGGAACAGAAAACACATGTGTCTGCTAATAGTAGTCGTCCTTTAAGAGATACTTGTTAAACTCCACATATGTAAATAATTAAAAAAATTACAAAATAAAGTTTGAAAAACGACACATTTTTGCTTCCCAACATTTATCATATAGCCAGCATTTTCATTGGTTTTACATGAGTGCCATCGTCTATCGTTCTCACAAAAGTTTTTCTTTATTTTTCTGCTTTTATGACTTGAAGTGGGAGGTAGGAACTATGAAGGCTGTAACATTTTTAGGCACTCGATCTGTAAAATCATTTTAAGAACCAAAGGATTTTTTGTGGTTTAAAAATTTAATATTGTTGTTGTACCATATTAAGTTCAGATAGAAATTCCAAAATGGCGTCTCTGCCAAATATACAATGGAGGATTTTCATGTTAAAATTTTTTCAGTTACTTTAAATTTTATAATATTAGAATAAATATTTCTTAATTTAATTTTTCAAATATTTCCTAATTTAACTTTTAATTGAAATATTATGATTTTATTAAAGTTAAATAGTCTAATATTTTACGGAAAATAGTTAGAAATGTAGACAAGTTTTATATATATATATATATATATATATATATATGATACGTAGGTAATGCTGTTACTCATATGTATTAATATATTTTTTGATATACAAAAGTATTTACATACATAAATTTAATACACTTACTACATTCTTACTTTTAAAATTTACAAAAATAGTCCTTAAATTAGAGTATTTATATACATATTAGTCCCCTGTGTAAGGAGAATAAATTTGATACATATTTTCTTTATCTTTAGCTATGCATAAAACTGAGTTTTAAAAAAACAATCCTTAAATTATAGTATTTATATACACACTAGTTCCCTTTTCAGGAGCATAAATTTGGTACATAGATTACCTATTCCTTTTATCCAAGGTGTTTTTTTTTTCATATATTATCTTGTCTTTCATAAATAAATTAATATATAATACAAAATATTTATATAATATAATATATATCTTGTGAATCAAGCTAAACGAGAGTCTTGCTTGAGATATTTTACTATATCAATCTCTTCTTTTTCTCCCATCGGTATTGACATGGTTGCCTAGTTAACAAACTTCATTGACTTTATGGATTGGTCCTATTCAAGTTTTTATGAGTAACATTTTAAATTTATTTTATTATAATTGTTTACTAATAACACCCTTTCGAATAAAGAAGTACTTTACCATGAACAGAGCCTAAGGTCTAGCTGACATATGTAAGTTTATTGATTTTCTTACATATTGATCGTTCATAAGGTCATAATATAAGGTTTATCAAGAAAAGTTTAGTAAACATATTCTCTGCTGAGCTTAATATTCTAGTGCTGCGCATTGTATAGATTGAACTAATTTTTGACATCAATAAAATAATTTGAGGAGAACTAATAACCTGATTAGATATCCTGTTGACATTTTACGGTAATATAAAGGGTCAATTTAGCTTAAATATATCAGTTTTTAGCTAAAAGATGTTAGACGTATTTACATACCTACCTAACCGAATAATAAGATTACTATTTGATAATTTTTCAATACCTCATTGTAAGATTAATTATAATTTACATAATGTATATGGCATTATGTAAATGTGAAAACAAAGCTTCTAACTACAATATTTTAATGTTAGCGCTTCAAAATCTAAGATTATTAAGTTTCTAGCTTAAAATTTAAATACTTATTATTATTTCATCCAGGAAAGATTTAATAAAAAAAAAAAAATTGTCAATGATGTGCTGGATAAAATGGGTTAAATTTATTTCTTCATTCCTATTATCTATTACTTTGTATTCCCTTCATTATTTAAAATTCATCTTCATCTTTCTATTAACAAAACCTCTCCTATCTACCGGACGAATATTTCCTTCTTGAATGAACCTTAGGTATTTTATTAGGAACGCTATCAAATGTAAATATCTTAAAATTCTTTATTTAGGTACTTCTTTTCGTACCGGAATAACTAAAGTTAACTTATTTTAAATTGTCGCCTTTTTCTACAACGGTCTACCATAGCAGGGTGAGGTCTGCTATTGCTAGGAGACAAGATTATTTAATGCTTTCTAAATTAAAAAAACAAAAACACTTTTATAAATTAAAGCGAATAATTTTTATATTGTAATATAAAGGCCGTGTTATGTGAACAATCACATGAAGATTGGTCACGTCAACTTTACGATCTTTTTGGTCTTGACCAAAAGACATGTTATAAGGAAACTTTACTATAATTGTCAATTTTTACTTGTATGAATATTTTTGTATTTTTTTTGTTCCAAAATTAAAAATATATTTATTTGTGGTGTGAATATGCTTACATATCCATACAAAAATACTAATATTCATTTTTAATATGAGGGAATTCTGATATTTATTACTGAGCGACACTGTTTTAACCAACATGACGAGGCACAAAAAGCCTAATCACCATGACCAAATTTTAATCGAATTTTCTCTGTGACTTATTTTCAATTTTTTATATATATTAGTACAACAACACTTTTATATTTGACGTGACTATGACTATATAACATAACCTTAAAAAGAATCAAAGTTAACTGAGCTGAAAAAAAAAATTTTTAAATAATATTTTTCTGAAAATAGCAATCTAATAAAAACAATTATAGATATAATGTAAAATAAATTCAAAATTTCAAAAAATTTTCGTTTTTAAATATATTTAAATTTATATCTTCAGACAATTGATTGTACTGTACTCCTTATATTTTGATATATTGGTATTACTTTGATTAACTTCACATTAACAACAATAATAGTGATGACGTCAAATAGTCAGGACGACTTAGCTAAAGAAGAATTGATTGCAAAATATATCAAAAAACTGATTAAGAATGTCGAAAGTCTGCAACTACCACACAAACAATTGCAAGCATTTAAGTCTCTTGTATTGATGACAAAAGTTCGAGATGATAAATTAATTGGAAATCTTATTACTTTAGGCGGATTACCAGTTATATTAAGATGCGCAAAACAGAAAAATGACTTTGAAATGCAAATAGAAGCTATATGCGCATTAACTAATATGATAACCGGATGTAAAGATCACCTAGATGGTGTGATGAAAGCAGGCGCATTTCCAGTTCTATGTCATTTACTCAATTCATACTGTCTTCAGGTATGTGAACAATCGGTCAATGCTATTGCAAATGTAGTTGTGAGTGGTAAAATCTATTGTGAACAGGCTATAGACAAAGGTATCGTTCGTAGCTTATCGTATATGTATTACCTTCATCCCAGCTCGCCAATCATTATCCGTCGTGTTGCTTGCATTCTTCGTTACATATGTCGAGTCAAGTTATGCTATACCTTAGTAAAAAAAATCATACCGGTTATAAGAGCATTGATATATCAAGTGGACAAGGACATAAAACTTGATATTTTGTATGCAATAGTATATCTTACAGATAATATAGACTTTCCCTTCAAATTAATATTAGAATATGGAGTTCTGAAACATATGATATCATTTTTAGATGATTCAGATATAAAAATTTTAACTACTGCTTTGCATGGTATAGGAAATTGTTTAAAAGATACTAAAAAGCTAGTAGAAAGCGCTTTGGACAATAATATTCTACAACATTTAAATATATTGGTGATACATAATGAGAGTTTGGTACGAAAAAGTGCGCTTTTTTGTTTAGGCGAACTTTTAGGAAATCCTATTAGTTACGTACAAGATGACATTAGTGCCCAACTTATAGTGAATATATATATAAACCTAACTGATGAAGACTTTGATGTAAACAAAGAGACAATTTATGCATTAATGAATTTATCTGCTACCGGTTCAAAGGACCATATATTCACATTGGCTAATATGGAGTTCATTTCAACAATTTGCGATATGTTGGTGTATTCCGATTGGGAAATTATAAAAATGATCTTAAAATTAATACTGAACTTAATTGCACGATCAGAAGAATATTTTATAACCATCACGTCATTGGTCCGTAATCACATTGATTTCACTATGCTGGAGTATTTAATGCAACATGAAAATACTGATATTCAAAAATTTGCTATGGAGATCTACACGGATCTTAATTATGAATCGTATATTGTATAAAACGAATTATTTTATAGGAGTTTAAAAATAAGAATGTATACCTGAAATAAAACAGATATATTTTCTACATACATGTTCATTTTATATTTTCAACAGGGATAGTAAGACAGATTTGTTAATGACAACAACATATACATTGAGCATATTAAAGCAGGTAACTTCTTATCTGAAGGCAGTTAGATATCTTTGTTAGATATACACTGCTTTACTCATTTATACTGTTATTATACCATCTATTTCTAACGAAGTCTTATAGTACATCTTCCTAGTATTAAGTGATGTGTTAGTATCGATACTGTACTACTGAAATCGTTCCGTTTAAGTTGTGAATTGGATAATGTAATGCCAAGCTAGTTCCGTAAGAAGCCTAACAATCTTGAACTGTTAAGAATGCAGCTGAGCGCTTTTCAGAGATTTGAAGCAGCGGAGAATTTAGGGAAAAATGCCTGAAGAAAAAATATCTATCTATTTATTCGTACCGATTTTATTGAAAACACGAAATTCGTCCATTTTAAAATAAAAATATTTATTAAACCTTTAAAACCTTAATTTTTGATATTTAATCCACCATTGTCAGAGAACAGATGTCTGGGACACAAACGGATTAGTGGTTTGAGTTTAGCAGATCTATATAACCCTTAAACCTTTGAAAAATCAATTTTTGTCACACAGTGTGATTATTCAAATGTGTATGCTGTACCTTTAATAACTAGTCAAACCTAAATATCATATAAATATTATTATAAAAATTTTAATAGAGAGATTTCGAACAGTTCTGAATTGCAACAATAAATATTTTTATTTATGCATAATTAATTAAATTTTTGCCATAACTATAGCCGTTTCAAGTATTGCCAAACACCTATCATCAGTGATCTTGGAATTATTACTTATTATTAGTTATTCCTAAATAATTTCTTGACAGTGCAAGCGCCAAGGGTTGAACTCATTCTCTGCCAAATTTGAAGTTCAGTGTCAATGTATATTGGCCAATTGACCCAAAGCCGTACAAGTCAAGTATGTTTGAACTTGGAGTTTTTTTTGTTAATTTAATGTGAAAGTTCATTAACAAATTCATTTATTCTGTTGTATTAGAATGAAGGCATTAATCCTCTAATGCCACATTTTTTATTTGAGTTGAAAAAATCAGATTAGATTAATCTGAGGTCAAAGAATCCGAATCCAAAGTCCTTTTTTCATTCTGATGTCTCGTTGTCTTGTAAATCGTAAAAAAGTCAAGCCTGCCTCAAGGTGGTCCTGGGCATTAGAGGGTTAATACTAAAAAGCTGTGTGATCAGCCAAAAATTCAATTGATTAAAAGTTAATAAAAATTTTTGTTGTTGCAATTCAGTACTGCTCGAAACCTTTCCATTAAATACAATAGTTTCTTTTAAATACAATATTAAATAAAATAGTCACAATCGTCATTACTGCTGCTAAAATCAAATTTAATAAACATATGTTATAAGTAATGAATAATTAGTAATTTTCAATATAAAAAAACCTCTTATAGTCAAAATCGATTTGAGCTTGTTTATAAATCCTCATCTTCCCACACGATTACATCTGCCTAATTATGCTTCTCCTTATAAGCGCGTCTACATTAATACGGTAAAGTGATACACACGGCAAACCACAAACCACCAGGGATGTTTTCAGGATGTTACGCAGGATTCCAAAATATTATGTATGGTAAGTGAGCATAAGGCAAGTAATTTGACACTTTTATAGAGTTATGAGAAGTAACTGAATAAAAGTGTGTATTACAGACGTTTATATCATGCAATTGTGAAAGCAAAGAATAAACCTATTTTAAAAAATATTTAAAAATCATTGCAAATTGTCGTGTAATTACAGTTTAAACGTGTCAAAAACATACAAAATGCTTTAAATTTCACTAAATTTTTACTAATTACTTGGTAAAAATTGTTTGACATGCCATTAGAAATTTTACAGGGAGTATGTCGGTATTATAATAATTATAAAGACCCAGTAACAGCGCCATGGACGCAACAAAACCACATACAACCACAACAGATACCAATAAAGGCGTGCGCCAAACCCCGTAAGGGATATGAGTTGGAATTTCTTTATTAAAAGGTCGTTACAACATAGCAACGTCAATTAGCAACATTTTTCGCCTTTGACCTGTTTGCAACAATTACTTAAATATGCAGCTAAAGCAGGAAGCAGCCCCGAAGAGTGAAATGTAGCACCGAAGAGTGAAATGTAGCCAAAAAGGAGTGTAAATTTCGTTTAAAAAATTAGAAGAAAAAGTGCTTTTCTTAAGAGTTCGACTGAATCCAGTTGAAGAAAGTAACTGCCAAGAAAAAATGTGTTAATGTCGAAAATTAAATTGTTATTAAGAAATTCTTTCAAGTTCTTCTACAACAGCATTAAAATTAACTTAAAGACTGAAAATCAAATAAAAAATTAAATAGAATATAAAGAAAAAGTGGGAATAAAAATTATGTATTTTTTCTTATAAAATAGAAAACCCAGGAAAAAGTTTTTCCTTGACTTATAAGTGGCTCTATGAAAATTATATTAACTTTCTGCTGAATATCCAGCTACAGTTTAAATCTTTATTATTCTTAAAATTTGTTAAACGTTATTGTTGCTTACACAGCAACACAGCATCCTCTAGTTGAGTCGAGTGGCAGCATGCGCTCTCGATGCGCTTCCACAGCAGCGAAGGCATCACTTAATTTGGTTATGTTGCACAAAAGTTGGTAATTACATTCCTGTTTATTAGCCGTGATTGTATTGCAGTTATTTTTGTTTTTGTTCCTTGATTTTGGTCACAGCAACAGCAACAGCAACACCAATAACAGCGCCAACTACAACAAAAACAATAAGAAAAATTTGTATAAGTTGCAAATATTCATAAATGATGTTGCTGATTTAATTAAGTTGCTGCTTATATTTACTGAATGCTTTTATAAAAATCTCGAAAAATAAATTTTAATTTTATTTTGTGGCAAAAGTACTGCACAAATAGTATTAGCTTTAAATTAAATTATGGAAAATGTAAAACTTAAAAATATTGATTTTAAAGGAATGTTATAGTTTTTCGATTAATTTCGTTATCTAAAGACAAAGCATCTATCTTCAAAGTTAAACAGCAGCGATAAATAAATGACAGCAGCTGCTTCTCACCTCCAAGGATCTGCAAAGTTGTTTCTTTTGACTAAATTAATCATTCGGAAAAGGACTTAGAACATTTCTGAGTTAAGGCACCATTATGTATTAAACAACACTCTTTACAGTATTGAGTTATAATTGTTAGCAAGTGGACTTTCACTTACGCCACCCCATCATTGGTGAAATCTGGTACCAATTGTTCCAAGTGCCCATAGCTTCGTTTGTCCTGGACACTGGGGTCGCTCAGTAAAGGAGTCTCGCGTTGGTTGCGCTTAACACCTAAAGTTACACAGGAAGTTACATTTTCATTTATGCCTTCATTCAATATGGAGCTACATTTTTTTACTGGGCTGCTGTGAGTCAAAGAACCGCAAAGGTTAAAATCGACCTCGTTTATCAATAAGAATTCTGCTGCAAACAGAATTCTTACCAACGGAACTTTTAATTGCTATTATCTTCATAAATGTGTTTAGAATATGTGTTAAGTATTAAGTCCTCATAGCAGGTAACCACGTAAAACAAATATGAACCTTCTTGACTAAGTGGCACTAAATACTTTTAAATCCAGAACGGTTTACTAAACATTTGAAATAATTTATTGCTTCAATAATTAAATATTTTTAATAATATTTTTTTTTAAAGGGCTAATTGGTCAATAGTTAAATAATACACTTTGGATATCGGCCTATGAGGGTGACACCACTGTAATTGAAGGTCTGGAAGTCAACACAAATGAAATAATTGATTAAAGATATAGCACAATAAAGACATACACAAAGTTCCAGTTTGGTTGAAAAACTGGAGGTTTGAGCAGAATAAATAAATATACAGATAGTCATCAACATAGTACCTTGATGATAACTATAGAATATAGTCGAAATATCGATTCAAATAAAATCTTTTAAAAATAAAAAAATTTCGTAAAGCGTGTATTATTTAACTATTGACTAATTAGCCCGTTAAAAAATAAAGTTAAAATTTGTAATTAAATATCACGCTGGACAAATAAACATTGAGAAACACAAGGTCTGACTTTGTTGGGTTCCTGAAGATTGAGGTCTTAATAAGAACAAACAAGCTGATGCCATAAACACAATTTGATATAAATTTCCATATGAGAACTATGTTTGGAATACACATAAATTTATTATTCTAGATTTCGTTAGGAACCTATGGCCTACATTAGATAGGAAAAGAAGAAAGCTTTTCAGTTTTGAGTTTTAATACACCCTCAGTTCATATGCTTATGTATGTGTTCATATACATATTTCTTTTTTAAATATTTAATAGATATACTTTCATATATTTTTGATAGAACTGTGATTATTTGAATAAAATATTTTTACATATATATATAATATATAATATAAACACTGCAAATGAATTTATTAATAAAACTTTCACAGCAAATTAACAAAATTCCAGAAAAATATGCGAACGTTAAAGTCAAATGTGGCTTTGGGTCAGTTGGTTAAGGTGCGCTGACTCTGAGCTTCAAATTTGGCAGAACACGATTTCGATTCCTGGTACTTGCAGTACCAAAAAAAATTGTTTTCTAATAATTAAATACAAGAATTATTTCCAAGACCACTACTGTTGGGTAATTGGCAATACCCGAAACAGCTGTATAGTCAGCCAAAAATTCAATTAATTAAGTTAATATAAAAAAGATATTAATAATATAATACTGAGCCGTTGACGTTATTATTTATTTATTATCATAAACTTTATTAAGATATAAAAACACTTCTATGATGTTTTTAATTTTTTTAAATGTACTCGTATATCTTAAACCTTTAAACCTATATAAGAGTATCACCAGAGTAATTTTTCTAGTAAAGGTGATAGAGCTTAAT